GAGCACAACTGTATGTTATAAAACACATGCATTGTTTGCTGTATGGCTGGTACGTTTTTCAGCTTGTGAAAATGTTGTATGTACAACTCAATAAAGTCACCCCACAATGTAAGTGTATAAATCAGATTCAAAGATATCACACAAGTAACACAGTAGATTGGTAGACCCCAAAAGCAAGCATAACCTTTTAATTTGGAGTTCTTATTTTGCTTTTTGTTACATTAAAATACAATTGCTAGTGTACCACTAAGATAAGAGCAGAGCAATATATAATATATTAATTCAAATAGGAAAGGGTGCAACAATACATCAATTGTGCTTACACAGTAGGTGCAAATGTCAGTTTGAATGTCCAGTGTGTTTGCTGGCAGAACTGCAAGTTTTACACTGCTTGTTGTTCAACAGGAATAGCATGCATTTTAATGTAAAAATAACCTCCCCCTTATATCAGTCTTACCCACAATACTGCAGTTATGCTCCACATTTAACAATTTATTTGAAAATGGTAATAAACCTCTGAAATGAAAATTAATCAAAGCATATCCTTCTATGATGTGTACTTGCCTGAATCCAAAGCTCCTAGTGTGAATCTTGCCAGCTGTCTGCTATCTGCATGAGTCACTTCTGGACAGCAGGCAATCCTTGGAGAGGATCCCTGTCCCCTATCACACAGTAGGTAGTGGACAGCCTCAGCTGTGCATGTTTCCATAAGACTGTGTAGAGGGGCTGTGTCCATTCCCTCCACTCAGGTTTCAGATAACACTCAACACTGTGTTGTTGACATCAGTCACCTGTCTTCCAGAGCTGAGAAATAGCCTTTGATATGTGTACTTTAAATGGCTGTAAAAAAGAGATTGCTGCAGATAAATAGGTACAAATTATACAGTATAGGGAGACTTGTTTCATTTCAGAGGCCAGTCACTTCACTTGCTTTGTGTTAGGGTTTACAGTCACTTTAAATCTTAAGTTACTCGAGTTGCACCCTAACATGTGGTCACTTTCTATAGGGCAAAGGTGACATAACTAAGTCTTCTCCCAGGACCCTAGAAAAGCGGAGAATCCCAAGTCTCTCAAGAAGTTTCTTCTGCACTGTGTAGAAGTGACTTCTCTTGAGATTTGGGATCATCAGCTTTCTCAGGCTCCTGGGAGAAGGCCTAATGATGTTACCCTTGTCTAGGTGAGCTTGCAGGAGGCTGAGATGTAAGGTGAGTGATTTTTTCTTTTGCTTTTTAAAGTTTTAGGCCGTACACTACACAATGTGATTGTACAATCTCCATTAAATCCACCATCAACTATGTAATGTAAGGGCCTGCCTGATTTATTGCAAATTGAATGGATTGCTTAGGTGTGTTCTTATAGATATTGTACAATCAGCTAGCTTCATTTTTTGTTCTTTAAAACAGTATTATTAAACCCAAAAACAAACATTTATTATATTGTAGCTTACCAAGTCTTAGATGTGGTGGCTGCATTCATTTTCCTTTTTAAAGTGGAAGTAACCTCCCTTTGATGTTTTGTACCTACAGAAAAGTCTATAATAAAGCTTACATCTAGGTACAGTAAATATCTCATGTGGAACAGCTAGTAAAGCCACAGTCGCATGCGCACTGCGCTCTCAATAGACGGCATTTCAAAAGAACAACCTCTCCTCCAGCATTTATCTGTTACAGAGATAAGACAAACCATTCAACACTAACGGGTGGTTACAATGATCAGCTTTTATATATTTATGTAAAACCTTTATTCCAAAAGGAAAAAAAATCAAAAGAAATGTTGCTGTAACTGCTTATAAAGTGTTAGCTGGAGTTTGGCTTCAATTTGTAACGTGTATCTACAGTAAATCTGTTAGCACATCTAACGCTGCCCTCCCCACAGACTGACAATGCTGCTGTCCAAAGGTGCCCCTTGTGCTGCTTCATCCAGAGTGGGGGCACTCTAAGACAGGAGGTGTGTTACTGGCAGGATTACCAGGTGAAAACAGGGGGGGGGGAAAGCCTAAAAAAGAAAACTGACGCAGACATCACATCTAATGATTGGTAAGCTGCAACAAGTTACATTTTTAGTTTTGGGTTTAATACTGCTTTAAAGGTTTTTTTCACTGAGTGGTAGGAAGCTACTAAAGAGCTGGATCTTGCATTTGCATGCTTTGCCCGCCTGTTATAATGTTTCTAGCAATCAATATATGAAGAGCTGTGTAACAAGTATAATAAGCATTCATATATAATTTGATGGTAAATACAGTAATAAAAATGTGAAATCAGAAAAACAGATCCACTTGTTGGCCAGTAATAATAATAAGAGTAGAAAACTAATTTTGTTATACCGTTCAAAAATGACAGTTTGCAGAGGAATGTTATATGCTCATCTATACAGCGCCATAAGAAGCATCTAAAATATGAAAAAACATACTTCTTTGAACAGCAATCAGTCTTTGCCTGAGTGCAGTACTTCAAGTGCTGAAGGCAATCTGTGTAGACCAAGCACAGTATTATATTTAGTGACAAGATCTGACATCTGTTTGTCCTAAGAAAATGTATGTGCTGAAAAGTAAATGGCAGCACAATAGAACACAGCTGGCAAAAATATTTCACTGGTTCTAAATGATGTTGACAGTTGTCTGAAGAATGGGTAAACAGCCAGACATTTATCGTACTTGATGTACAATCTATCCACATAGATCTAGGAGAATTTACAAGCTCATATTTATAAAACTGCAGATCATTTCTGATTTGTAATGAAAGCCTGACACAGAAGAAAAAGAGATGGTAATGGTGGTCCAACCAGTTTTTAACTATATATTATCATGTCATTGCATGCAGTGATGTCATCATCTCATATTTGATGCATAGGCTGATGCCTTTGTGGCTTTCCAAATGAAATCTTCCAGAAAAGACCTTATATAATTATGTGCCTGTAAACAAATGGTAGTACTCTCAGCAGAAAGAGATTAAAATTGACTTAGCCTTAATGAGTGATTTACTAACTGGTGGAATGAACCTGTGTTCACATTAAACATCCAGTCATTCATAGAGGAATTTAAATAATCAAGCCTGTCCTTGAAAAAAAAGAATTATGCAGACCATAGATGGGTCATTTATCGGCCGAATTTTCGTCCGCACGAAAAAGCAGCCGATATTCACGCCGTTAGTAGGGCCAGCCCGTTGGCTGTTTTTTGTGGATCTTCTCATTTGTTTTTATCGGTCATGCTGGAAAATTCACAAAAAACTGCTGTTTTTCGTGGACATTGGTGGCAGCATTTAGGGTACCTTCAAATTCCAAATACTACATTGCTGAAACACATACACAGATTTTTTTTCTAATTCCTTAGCACAGGAGCCCTAAGATCTAGTTCACACAGACTTAAGTGCAAGGGGCCCCAAACTCTCCGAAACAAAGAGCCAGTACGCTATCCATCTGACTTTAGAGGGGCAGATTAACTAGGGCAGCGGGAGAAGAAATAGTTGTGCCTTATTGTTTAAATTAGTGAAAAGAATAGTGACTCATTGCTGGTTTCAGTGGGAGGAATAGTACCCCATCATTGGTGTCAGTGGAAGGATTAGTGACCATCATTGGTGTCAGTGGAAGGAATAGTGCCCCATCATTGGTGTCAGTGGATTAGTGACCATCATTGGTGTCAGTGGAAGGAATAGTGCCCATCATTGGTGACAGTTGGAGGAACTGTGCCTCATTGTTTGGATTAGTGAAAGAAACAGTGACTCCATGTTTGTTTCAGTGGGAGGAATAGTGCCCCATCTTTGGTGTCCGTGGAAGGAATGGTGCCCATCATTGGTGTTAGTGGAAGGAATAGTGCCCATCATTGGTGTCAGTTAGAGGAATTGTGCCTCATTGTTTGAATTAGTGAAAGAGACAGCGACTCCTTGTTGGCTTCAGTGGGAGGAATAGTGCCCCATCGTTGGTGTCAGCAAGAAGAGTTGTGCCCATGGTTGGTGTCAGTGGAAGGAACAGTGATTCATCATTGGTGTGAGTAGTACAATAGTGCTCTATCTTATTAGTGGGAGGAATAGTGTCCCAAGGGTGGATGTGCGCAAGCAAAGTGCCACTTCTAGCCTGAGAGCCATGTTTGGGGACCATCCAGTGCTTCAATGTATAAATGCTAATTTGCCGAGTAGTGCGTAGACGAAGCATTTGTAAAGCTTTCAGCTTTGAACAGCTTTCCTGAAGCCTTCAAAGTACTCTTCAGCTCCAGCTGTGGGAACTGTAAACAAGCTGTTAACAGGTTGTAGAATTACATGAACATTGTTAAAAATGGCTGCTCAAGCCTGCAAACAGCTTTTTTACAGCCAATGTTTCTATTACAGCCCAATGCTGGGCTGTAGCTGTGGCCTAGTGGAGGGGAGAGGGAGAGAATGACTGCTAGCGTCATGCAGCGAGCAGCAGTCCTTCTAGGCAAGGTTCATGATTATACTGGGCCTCTTTAGAAGGAAAAATAACACATTGAGATCACGCCATCTCACTGCACAGCAAATTTGTATACCAGATTGTCCCAAAAAATTTTTGGCTGGGTTTTAAAGCTCAACTACAGTAAAAAGCACTGCCCCATTGCAAGTGTTAAATGCTCATTTCTGTGTAGTGGACAGGAAAAGCACTTTTACTTACCTGGTCTTCCACTCTCCTGGACGACGAGGCTGCAGGACAGGTCTAGAAATGTTGAGGAGCCTGCAGGAATGAAGACTCAGTTAAGTAAAAATACTTTTCAACCCTTGCAGCGCAGGAGTATTTTTATTTTTCCTATAGTTCAACTTTAAGGACCTACACATGGGCTCCAGTTTGTAGAAGGCAAACAAGACAAAATATATTTCTCAACACACTTACCAGCAAAACAAAACAAAAAATTACACCAATAATTTGGGTTTTAGTTGCACAACATTTGCAAATATACACTACATTGCCAAAAGTATTGGGACAGCCCTCCAAATCATTGAATTCAGGTGTTCCAATCACCTCCATGGCCACAGGTGTATAAAATCAAGCACCTAGGCATGCAGACTGCTTCTACAAACATTTGTGAAAGAATGAGTTGCTCTCAGGAGCTCAGTGAATTCAAGCGTGGTACTGTGATAGGTTGTCACCTGTGCAATAAGTCCTTTCATGAAATTTCCTTGCTACTAAATATTCCACGATCAAATGTTAGTGGTATTATAACAAAGTGGAAGCAACTGGGAACATCAGCAGCTCAGCCACGAAGTGGAAGGCCACGTAAAATGACAGAGCAGGGTCAGCTTATGCTGAAGCACACAGTGCACAAACTGTCTGCTGAGTCAATAGCTAAATACCTCCAAACTTCATGTGGCCTACAGATTAGCACAACAACAGTGCGTAGAGAGCTTATGGAATTGGTTTCCATGGCTGAGCAGCAGCATCCAAGCCATACATCACCAAGTGCAAATGCAAAGTGACTTATGCAGTGGCATAAAGCTCGCCACCACTGGAATCCGATGGATGTGTCTGGGTTTGGCAATTTGGTGGAGGGGGAATTATGGTGTTTTTCAGGGGTTGGGCTTGGCCCCTTAGTTCCAGTGAAGGGAACTCTTAAGGTGTCAGCATACCAAGACATTTTGGACAATTTCATGCTCCCAACTTTGTGGCAACAGTTTGGGGATGGCCTCTTCCTGTTCCAACATGACTGCGCACCAGTGCACAAAGCAAGGTCCATAAAGACATGGATGAGTGAGTCTGAGGTGGAGGAACTTGACTGGCCTGCACAGAGTCCTGACCTCAACCCGATAGAACACCTTTGGGATGAATTAGAGTGGAGACTGCAAGCCAGGCCTTCTTGTCTGACATCAGTGTCTGACTTCACAAATGTGCTTCTGGAAGAATAGTCAAACATTCCCATAGACACACTCCTAAAACTTGTGGACAGCCTTCCCAGAAGAGTTGAAGCTGTTATAGCTGCAAAGGGTGGGCCAACTCAATATTGATACCTAGGGACTAAGACTGGGATGCCATTGAAGTTCATGTGCGTGTAAAGGCAGGCGTCCCAATACTTTTGGCAATATAGTGTATGTGGATATACTGTATATACTCTCTATAGTGCAGTCTCTAAGTCCCATTCACATATTGATTTGGAATCGCAGGCAGAATCAATGCAATTCTGCCCGCAGTTCCAATTTCCCTGTGTCTTTAAGGAGGAATGGTCTCCCTCCAGACATGCCCTTAATTTATCCATTGCTATCACTGCTCTTATACAAGCTGAAGGCTATTTGTACAAGACCCTAGGCTTCAACTAAGCTGTTTGAAGCTGACCGCAGGTTTTGCCAATACTTTGTAAAAGACTAGATTTAGATATGTATCTAAATCTCCCTTGCCTCTGAAGCCTGATCTGTGTTCGGATCACACTCAAGAGGCTACTGACAGATGGTGAGGAAGTGATGCGACTAGGGTTGCCACCCTTTAAAACTGAACACATATTAATTACACAGGTTCTGAGGCTAATTTAATGCAGATAAGGCACTAAGTGATTTCAATTACCACCTTAAGCAGCCACAGAACCTGTGTAATTAATATGTGTTCGGGGTTTAAAGGGATGAGGTGGCAACCCTAGAAGCGATGCCTCCTCACCGTCTGTTTTAATTCTAATTTTGCTAACAGACACGCTGCATTTTTGTGGCACTTCCCGATTTACTTGAGTGTAGGGTTGCCACCTCATCCCTATAAAACCGAAAACATATTAATTACACAGTTTCGGAGACTAATTTAATGCAGATAAGGCACTAAGTGATTTCAATTACCACCTTAAGCAGCCACAGAACCTGTGTAATTAATATGTGTTCCGTTTTAAAGGGATGAGATGGCAACGCCTCCTCACTGTTTTAATCCCATTTTTGCTAACAAACACGCTACAACCATAAGCATTTTTGTGGCACTTCCCCATTTACTTGAGTGTAGGGTTGCCACCTCATCCCTTTAAAACCGAACACATTAATTACACAGTTTCGGAGGCTAATTTAATGCAGATAAGGCACTGAGTTTAATTCCCACCTTAATAAGCCACAGAACCTGTATAATTAATATATGTTTGCTTTTAAAGGGATGAGGTGGCAACCCTACTTGAATGCAGAGTGTTTGGCGGGCTTGCCGATCGCTACATGTCAGTTGAATTATGGGAGGGTGGTTGGCAGTTGGCAAAAATGCGGCTCAACCGTACATTTTTGCTGCCAACGCGCCCAAACTGCAAGTCTAGATGAAGCCTAAAGCCGGCCATACACGGGTCCAATTATGAAAGAATTTACATTCAAAAATCTTTTCTAAGAATTTTCGTTCTAATTTCGCATCATTAGTGGGCCACAGAAACGAACAATTTCTTGTAACCATCGAATCTGAGTGATAGGGCATGTTGGAAATTTTGTGAAAAGTGAATGAATTTTGAATCAATCAAGGGCCACATATCAGTGCCTACCAGTGCACATCAATGCCACATATCAGTGCCCATCTGAGCTGCCTTTCAGTGTCACCTATCAGTGCCAGTCAGTGCCACCTATCAATGCCAGTCAGTGCCACCTATCAATGCCATCAGTGCCACCTATCAGTGCCACCTAACAGTGCCAGTCAGTGCTACCTAACAGTGCCAGTTAGTGCCCATCAGTGATACCTGTCAATGCCCATCAGGGGCACCTACTAGTGCCTCCTCATCAGTGCCCATCAGTGCAGCCTATCAGTGCCCATCACTGCAGCCTCATTAGCGCACATCAGTGAAGGAGAAAAATCACTTATTTACAAAATTTTATAACAAAAACTAAAATTAAAAACTTGTTTTTTTTTTCAAAATTTTCAGTTGTTTTTGGTTTGTTTAGCAAAAAATAAAAAACCACAGAGGTGATTAAATACCACCAAAAGAAAGCTCTATCTGTCTAAAAAAAATGATAAAAATTTCATATGGGTACAGTGTTGCATGACCGCGTAATTGTCATTCAAAGTGTGACAGCGTTGAAAGCTGAAAACTGGCCTGGGCAGGAAGGGGGGTAATAAGTGCCCTGTAGGCTAGTGGTTAAACAAGTGGTTGTAAGCTGTAGCCCATGTGAACCAAGTGCAAATCAGCTTCATTGCCATGTGTAAAATGTGTAAGGTACTAACTAGAGATGTGAATTATTCAAAAATTCGATTCGGCTGATTCAGAATAAATTCGATTCGATGCGAATTTATTCGCTGCGAATTTAACTTATTAAACATAGGCTTCAGAGAGCCTTTATATTAGTGCAGAACACTGTACCTTTAAAAATGCCCTTGGAGTCTGCTGGGGAAGAGAAATAATACTGTCAGTCAGTATGACATGCAAATGAGTGCCGTCGATTAGAATCACCGCACACTTCACTCATTTGGGCAGTCAAGGGGCACGACAAGAAGATGAAGAAGAAGATGAAAGATGAAGAAGAAGAAGATGAAAAAGATGAAGAAGAAGATGAAGAAGATGAAGAAGAAGATGATGTTTTGATTGAAGAAGAAAGAATGAAAAAAGAAAAGAAGAAGAAGATGAGAAGAATGAAAGAAGAAGAAGATGAGGAAGAAGAAGAAGAAGAAAGGATGAGGATTGAAGAAGATGTTGAAGAAGATGAAGAAGAAGAAGATGAAGAAGAAGAAGAAGATGAAGAAGAAGAAAAAAAAGAAGATGAGGATGAGGAAGAAGAGGATGAAGAAGAAGAAGATGATGAGGATGAAGAAGAAGAAGAAGAAGATGAGGATGAAGAAGAAGAAGAAGAAGATGAGGATGAAGAAGAAGAAGATGAAGATGAAGAAGAAGAAGAAGAAGAAGAAGAGGATGAGGATGAGAAGAAGAAGATGAGGATGAAGAAGAAGATGAAGATGATGAAGAAGATGATTATGAAGAAGATGATGAAGAAGAAGATGATGAAGAAGATGAAGAAGAAGAAGAAGAAGAAGAAGAAGAAGATGAAGAAGAAGAAAGAAGAGAAGAAGAAGATGAAGAAGAAGAAGATGATGAAGAAGATGATGATGAAGAAGAAATGATGAAAAGATGAATGATGAAGAAGAAAGATGAAGAAGAAGAAGATGAAGAAGATGAAAGATGAAGAAGAGATGTGATGAAGAAGAAGAAGATGATGAAGAAGAAGATGATGATCAGAAGAAGAAGAAGATGAAGAAGAAGAAGATGAAGAAGAAGATGAGAAGGAAGAAGAGGATGAGAATGAAGAAGAAGAAGAAATGAGGATGAAGATAAGAAGATGAAGAAGAAGATGATGAAGAAGATGATGATGAAGAAAGATGATGAAGAAGAAGATGAATGAAGTAGAAGATGAAGAAGAAGAAGAAGAAGTGATGAGGAAGAAGAGGATGAGGATGAAGAAGAGAAGATGAGGATGAGGAGAAGAAGAAGAAGAAGAGATGAGGATGAAGAAGAAGAAGAAGATGAGGATTGAAGAAGAAGAAGATGAAGAAGAAGAAGATGAAGAAGAAGAAGAAGATGAAGAAGAAGAAGAAGAAGAGGATGAAGATGAAGAAGCGATTTGAAAGCTGATGATGAAGAAGAAGAAGATGGCCTGGAGAAGATGAGATGAAGGAAAGAAGAGAGGATGAGAAGAGGAAGAAGAAGGAAGAAGAAGAAGAAGAGTTGAGATGAGGATGAAATGAATGAAGAAGAAAGAAAGAAGAAGAAGAAGAAATGAGGATGAAGAAGAGGATGAGGATGAAGAAGAAGAAGAAGAAGAGGATGAAGAAGAAGAAGAAGAGGATGAGGATGAAGAAGAAGAAGAGGATGAGGAATGAAGAAGAAGAAGAAGAAGTAGGATGAAAATAAGAAGAATTCCAGTACAGCAAAAAGTGTATCTGCAGAGAGCTCCGCTATTTCTGACAGTTCTCTGACAGTTTCTTCACATTTACAGCGGTTGAAACATTGTATCTATTTGTTTCCGAATAAAAACATCTGTATCCTAAATGGAAACAAATAGTACAATGTTTCAACCGCTGTAAATGTGAAGGAACTGTCAGAGAACTGTCAACAAGAGCTCTCTGCAGGGACACTTTTTGCCGGCTGTAGAAGGGATTGCCATGATCGGGAAAAATTCGATTCATGCATCCGAAGTTTGCTAATTTTCGGATTCTGGTGCGAATCAAATTTTTCCTAATATTCGAAACGAATTCCACTTCGCCAAGTTCGATCTCATCTCTAGTACTAACATCTGGTCTAACTGAAAATACTGCATTTGTTTTCTATAATGCAAAAAAAAAATAAAATGATTGCACGATATTTGCTGTAGGGTGCCTGTTCCATGTGACAGGTTAAAAAAACAGTTTGTGTTCAGTAAATGTAGAACACTTGTAACATCTCTCAGGTTATGTAATCTTATATTTCATGATTTTCTTGGACCGAGGAGATGTCAGTTTGCTGCAGAAAAGTCAGCATGATCTACAGTGTGAGATGAAGTGGTGGTGGGGGCACATCTCATCTTCTACATATTTAAGTACACAGACTAATCAATTTCTCACAGCCTGGCCTGTCAATCCCTCTCCCTGATTTCCCTGGCTCAGCTGTGATGTCCATGTGAATCTCCTAATTTAGCCTCCCTCTGACTTGCAGGCCTTTGCCAGTGCACATACTGGGTTAACAGAGGCTATTTCCGTAGCAGGGTTTAACCCTTTCTGCTCCTGATTCTGGCGGCATATGTTAGTTGTAAATATGATCTTTTTTATCGCATAGTATGCATTAATACGTATATCACATGGCTTTTTAAACTGTTTTCACAGAGTATTTCCTCTGCACAAATGTACGTGTCTTGACATTTTTAGAATAATGTGATTTTCTGACCTGGTTTTAAATATCACTAGAAAAAAAGCCACAGAGCCAAATAAAATCACATTTGCTCTCAAGAAAGATTGTGGTTGGTGGGTTTGACAGAGAAATAATCTTTCGTACTCTTTAGCCCTTTCTTCTCAACAAATCCGCTGTCTCTTCTTGAACAGCTAGGCTGTAGAATTTGTCCCTATCTCTTTATTTGCATTCAGGGTCACACGCTTTAAGTTTGAGCTGGCATGCGAAAGAATTGGAAGCAAAAATGAACCAAAAAATGCAATAAAGACTTCATCACAGCAATACGTTTTTGCACTAATATATGACCTTCAGCTCTCAGCATTGTCTGAATGAGTGTAAACCAAAGCTGACCATGGTGTTGTTTCTCAGTTACTCTTATACACAGGCCATACATGGGTCGAATTCTGAACTAATTTTCTTTAGAAAATCAGAATTTTCATGCATTTTGTAATCCGATGGTGCCACCATTGATTTCGAAATTCGACCAACCAACCTTCAATTTCACCTCATGTTGCTACAGAAAAGAATTGTTGTGCCCAATCATTTTCTTCTCTTTCCAGGTAACAGCTCCTGCTCATTTCTTTTTCGTTTATATTTCCCGCACGATTCTCCCATCATTGATTAGAAATTTGTTCATTTTTCAAAAAATTTCCAACATGCCCGATCACTCAAATTCAATGGTCACATGAAAATCGGCTGTTTCTGTGACCCACTAATGGTTCGAAATGCAAACGAAAATTCTTAGAAAAGATTTCAGAATTCGAGCCATGCATGACCAGCTTTAGTGCTGGTTTAAAGTGGCTGTAAACCTCAGACATGAAATATGAACAAAGAATATCCCTCTATAGTGTGATCTTGTCTCAATTCAGAGCACCAAGTGTCATTTCTGTCCACTGCCTCATTCCTCTGCTATAAGCATGAATCAATTCTGATGAGTTTTCCTGACACCAAGAGAGAAATGGTGACAGAGGAGGGCACAGCCAGTGATTCACAGTCTCAGCTCTGTTCCTGTGTGTTGTGTGAAGGGTGTGTGTCTCTTCTCTCCAAGCCCTATTAGGCTAGGTTCACATCTGTGCGGGTGGTGCCGCTGCGGATCCCGCACAAAAATCCACACGCACAGAGAAATGTGGACCTGTGGGAGGGTGCCATTAGTTCTAATGGCACGCCGCCCACATTGAAAAGTGCAACCGTACTGGGAACCGAGGTTCCTGTGCAGGCTGCGTTTTCAGAAGAAGTGCAGGGACTTCTTCTCTGCATGTCACGGGGCACGAAGTCCATTCAAATGAATGGGCTCTCATGCCCACACAAAACGCAACTCACACGGCCGCATATATGTGAACCAGGACTTACTTGAGGCTCCAACGTTTAGATGCGGATCTGCACGAAAATCCACCCGCACAGAGAAATGTGGACCCGTGGGAGGGTGCCATTAGTTCTAATGCGTTTTCAGAAGAAGTGCAAGGACTCCTTCCCTGCATGTCACGGGGCACGGGAGTCCACTGAAATGAATGGGCTCTCATGCCCACGCAAAACGCAACTCGCACAGCCACATATATGTGAACCAGGGCTTACTTGAGGCTCCAACGTTTAGATGCGGATCCGCACGAAAATCCACTCGCACAGAGAAATGTGGACCCGTGGGAGGGTGCCATTAGTTCTAATGGCACGCTGCCCGCACTGAAAAATGCAACCGTACTGGGAACCAAGGTTCCTGTGCGGGCTGCGTTTTCAGAAGAAGTGCAGGGACTTCTTCCCTGCATGTCACGGGGCACGGGAGTCCATTCAAATGAATGGGCTGTCATGCCCACGCAAAACACAACTCGCACGGCCGCATATATGTGAACCAAGGTTTACTTGAGGCTCCAACGTTAAGATGTGGGTGGAGGACACAAGTGCACTGTCCAGCCACTCTGCCAGCAGCCTGTTAAACTCTATGTGAGGCTGCTGGGACTGGACGGTGCACCTAGCGGTACTAACATTTAGGGCAATATGTTTGAAGGGACAGATGCACATAACACAAGAATTCTGCCTTCCATCCCTGGGCTCATGGGGGTGGGATGCTCCACAGCATGGGTGATTTAATTTAATTTTCCCGAATTGTGCCATCAGGGTCTATTTAAGGGCCCATTCACAGTATACTAGAGCCTGCTGCCCGCACAGAATTTTAGGGTGCAGATCCATGTGGCAGGGGGCAGTGTGAAGTGCATTTTATCTAATCACACAGCTCCCTTTTTTTTAAACAAAGTTTGGGGTCAATTCACTAAGGGTTACTGCATGCGATAACACTGTCACGTGACTCATTTGCATAAATTATCGCATGCGGTAACAAAATGTCCAGTTCACAAAAAAAATAACGATTTAACACAAAATTTAAAATGTGTCAGTAAATACCGCAAAAACACCATGCGGTAAGCTTTTAAGTCCAATTCACAAACAGAACAGAAAGTAAAAATAACTGTGATATTTATCACCAGGGTTTTGCTGGCGGTATCACGTGCAGTATTTTTTTAGAAGCAGAGAGGGGGTCCCCCCCGGTCCCCCCCACCCCTAGGGATCTGGTATGGATATTAAGGGGAACCCCACGCCAAAAATTTTTTAAAACCAGCGTGGGGTCCGCCCCAGATCCATACCCCAAATCCCTTAGGATTGTGAGTGGGCCCGCACACCATTTTTGTCTTTTTATTTTGGTGCAGTTTCCCTCAAAATCCATACCAGACCTAAGAGCATTTTTTGTTTTTTTTGGTGTGGGGTTTTCCTTAACCACTAGCCTACAGGGCACTTATACCCCCTTCCTGCCCAGGCCAATTTCTAGCTTTCAGCGGTGTCGCACTTTGAATGACAATTGCGCGGTCATGCAACACTGTACCCATATGAAATTTTTATCTTATTTTTATACCCATTTATCATTTTTATGTGACAGAGCTTTATTTTGGTGGTATTTAATCACCTCAGAGTTTTATATTTTTTCTTAAACCAAAAACTACTGAAAATTTTGAAAAAAAAATTTTTTTCTTAGTTTTTGTTATAAAATTTTGTAAATAAGTGATTTTTCTCCTTCACTGATGTGCACTAATGAGGCTGCAGTGATGGGCACTGATAGGCTGCACTGATGGACACTGATAGGTGGCACTGATGAGGAGGCACTGGTAGGTGGCACTGATGGGCATTGACAGGCATCACTGATGGGCACTGAAAGACAGCACTGATATATGGCACTGATATATGGCACTGATATATGGCACTGATAGGTGGCACTGACTGGCACTGATAGGCGGCACTGACTGGCCTTGTTAGGCAGCACTGACGGGCACTGTTAGGCGGCACTGACTGGCACTGATAGGTGGCACTGATGCACACTGATAGGCAGCACTGACTGGCACTGATTGGCAGCACTGATAGGTGGCACTGATGGATGACACTGAAAGGCAGGTCAGATGGGCACTCATATGTGGCATTGATGTGCACTGGTATGCACTGATATGTGGCATTGATGTGGCATTGATGTGGCACTGATAGGCACTGGCACGTGGCACTGATCGGCACTGACAGCTGGCACTGATGGACTTTGACAGGTGGCACTGCTGGGGCTACACTGATCATCAGGGCACACTGATCATCAGTGCCCTGATGATCAGTGTACATATTCCCTCTGTGGAAAGCCGATTACCAGCTCTCCTCTCCTATCGAGCTGTCAGCGTTTCCATGTTTACATGGCATTTCCCTGTTTACATGTGATCAGCTGTGATTGGACACAGCTGATCACATGACCAAGCCGACATCTTCGGCTATTTCTGTGATCGGTGATCCGCTGTGTCCGAGGGACACAGCACACCGCCGTTCGCCGTGCTGCACGCTCCCTGAGCCGCGCATGCGCGGTGAGAATGGGAGGACGTCATATTCCTCTCAGAATGAGAAAACCACCTTGCGCCCGTCATTGGACTATATGGTGGGCGGGAGGTGGTTAAAATTTATACCAGACCCAAGGGCCTGGTATGGATGCGGGGGAGCCCTACGCTGTTTTTTTCATCATTTGTAATTGCTGGCATGTTTTGTTTACATTCAGCTGTCAGTGGGATACCAGCTGACAGCCGATGAGTTATCCGTTGTTCAGGATACCGTGGCTGGCTTCCTTAACAACCAGCTACTGTTATTTTACTGCATTTTTTCAGTCATTATTTAACTCTTAGTGAATTGACCCCTTTATTTGAAGAGTACAGTGAAAACTATTGTGTTCTGTGGGTCGTTGCAGGTGCCTGTGCTTTTCCATGCAGAAACTTGCTAATTCATGCATATTTATTATTCAAAGCAAACTCAACCATCCATCCACGTCTCTATGCTTTATTTTGCTGAGAAATAATTTGGAAAACACCCTCTAGCTTTTCTGGCTGTGGCCACCTTCAGTAAGGGCAGATAGTTCATATAGCACTTACATTCTGGAATCCATCTTCCCTTAGTTTAGGCATGCTGGCAGGAGGGTGTGCTTAGTTATAACCGCTTTTGACCTAAAGGGACGCTTTTTGGATGCCATGGACATTTCTCAGTTTCCAGGCAGAAAGAACAGTAAAAATGCAGGCAGGGCACAGGACAAAGTACTAGGGACAAAGTGTATGTGAAATGGTTTGATACAGTAATGTTTTACTATGTGATTTTAGTGTATTTAGTGAATGTCACTTTTTCACATTTTTAAATTTCCCGCCGGTTCCGTTCCCGTACGTCCTGACATCGCAGGGAATGGAACCCAGAAGACAGATGCCGGCATCGGCCGGAGGACATTGCCGGGGACGCTGCAAGGGGGACTCTATAGTCATGTGGGCTGAAAGATAAGAAAAAGGTGGAAATGAAGAGCTTAGAAGGGAACTGGAACTGGAGCATGCTCAGTAGATAACAACAGCTAGTCTAAACAATCTCAGCCTGCAATTGGGACAGAGAGAGGATGGGAGGGACAGCTGAAGGCAGGATCAACAAGGTATATTTCACTGCAAACAAAATTAATGCTTTAGTGGCTTTGTAAGTATGCACACTGTTATATAGCATGTGATGAGAGTTTTTCATAGTCTGGGTTTAATGTGATTCTATATATAAATATATGTATTTATTTTTAAATAACAAACATGTCTATACTTACCTGCTGTGTGCAGTTGTTTTGCACAACGCAGACCGGATCCTCTTTTTGGGTCCCCCGCCGCTCTCCTCCTGTCGGATACCCCCACAGCAAGCAGCTTGCTATGGGGGCACCCGCTGCCCCCACACATGAAGCCGGGGCTTGGCCCCACCCCCTCTTTCTTCTCATTGGCTCACTGGCTTTGATTACAAGCAGTGGGAGGCAATGGCACTCCTGGCTCAGCCAATGAGGAGAGGGATTCCCAGGAGAGCCAAGACTCCAGTGCACATCGCTGGATCAAGAAGGGGCTTAGGTGAGTAATAGGGGGGCAGTAGGGAATACTGCACAGAGAAGGTTCTATGCATGAAGGTAAAAAACCTTGAGCATTTAGAACCACTTTAATTACACTTTAATATACAGTAAACCTAAATTGTAACATATATTGTTGCTACAACACAATGTATCTCCAGCTGAAACTATTTTTATTTCTTATCCTCAAGAAAGGGAATATAATTTCCAGTACTAAGGCTGCTTTTACCCCAGTTCACATATATGCAAATTGAATGCGTTTTGAACCACACCTGATTCGCCTGACATGTGAACCAAACCAGCTTTCTATGGAGCCACTTCACACATGTGTGGGCCTGCTGCAGTGCAGTTTTTTAAAGAGTCAGAGATTTCAAAAACTCGCACCTGAATTACACCTGAACCGCTAATCGAAACCGCACCGGACTCCTTTGAAAAATCGCGATAATACCGGCCCCGCATATATGTGAACCGATCAGTCTTACACTAATCAGTTCTTCTTTCATTATTGTATTAAAAAAAAGTGTGACCATTAAATCCTATCGAACTCTTCACACTGGTCAGTTGCCAGTCTATTGCGTTTTTCAAAGTCCTGCAAGCTGCATTTTTGGTGCGGCAAAAAAAAATGCATCAAAAACACACCTCCCCGTTGAAATAAATGGAAAACACATCAGAAATGCACCCGCGGTTGCAATTTTGGTGTGTTTTTTTGAGTCACATGTCCTTACACGACAAAAGCATGGTAAAAACACATTTTTTCCAATAGTGCAGTATGAAAGTAGCCTTAAAAAGTAACATTAAAAACCTATCCAAAAACATAAGCAGCTTGGATACTATTCATTCCTGGTTTATATAGGGATAGTCATGCATCTTTATGCATCAACATGAGAGTTAGTGTCAATATTGCTTACTAGTGTGGTTATTTGTTATATTAACCTCCCTAGTGGTATGATTATGTCAGTATTTCTGTGCTCAAAGCGGTACTTTTTTTGCATGGAAATATGTATTTTTTTTATTGTAGGCCTGTAATTTTTAGGAATAACTCACTGAAATCTGTCCGAACAAGAGTCTATTAAACATCCCGGGTATGTTACAATTTGAAACACGAAATCATAAATTATAATTTAATAAATATTCATAAAAAATAATAATATAATAAATTTAATTCAATAATGTAATCAAACCAAAAACACTGAACTTTGAAATATAGCGCCAAGTTCGCACATCACTGAGCAAAGTCGCAAAATCGTTTTCAGTGTCTGATGACGAATTTCCCCACGAATCATTATCACTCAATTCTGCAAGTGGTTCTGATTTACTATCGCTGTTCTCTAGCTGATCTAAAACTGCTTTTGACCTAAAGGGATGCTTTTTGGACGCCATGGACATGTCTCAGTTTCCAGACAGAAAGAATGGTAAAAAAGCAGGCTGGGCACAGGACAAAGCACTAGGGACAAAATGTATGTGAAATGGGTTGATACAGTAATGTTTTACTATGTGATTTTAGTAATTTTAGTGAATGTCACTTTTTGTCACTTTCAAATTTCCCGCCAGTTCCGTCCCCATACGTCCCGACGCCCGCAGGGGACGGAACCCAAATGACAGATGCCGACATCCGCCGGAGGACATTGCCGGGGACACTGCAGGAGGGACATCGCGGGAGCGCAGGACAAGGTAAGTGCAGAAAAGATCCCGGAGCAACGCCGCATGGTAAGCCCGAGTGTAGCTCGGGGATACCGCTTTTGGTACTGAAACTTTACCCCGAGCTATAATCGGGAATACCTCCAGGGAGGTTAATTTGTATAACCAAATCATGCTGACAGTGTTTCCCTGCTAACATTTTTGTTTTTCTCTGATTCATGTGGGGTCCTGGTACCACAAGCCAGAATATAAGGTCATGTAACCTGCTGCAGGGGGTACTTTCAATGAAGCCTCTGTTGACATCTGTACCCCAATGCAGGCTGCAACAGTTCCAATAACCCATAAACAAAGTGTTATGGAAGCTAGACTTAGCATAAAACAAGTTCATGTTGCAATAAATATATGTAATAAACCTATTTGTGCAGATTTTTTAACTTTGACTACAAAAACTGCCTTTTGATCCGTACAAAATAGCCAGATATTCTTGTACAGACACTGTAAAGACATGAAAGACTATTGTTCTGCCTTCCATAAATTGTATGCTAGCGAGTAGTGTTGTAGCACTGTTTTCATTTAATAACTGTACTGTCCAAACAGATGAGCAACTGGCTTTCTCTATAGAAAGTAATACAAGTGGTATATAGAAGCACATTGTAGCAATCAATCTCCTTTTATTGAAGTATTGTGCTACCATGCAAGATTTATCACTACTACATGCTATTTGTGCAGGTCACATACGGACCCATTTATTCCATCTGGTTAATGATCAGTTTCTATTCCTATGGATTCATCTCTACTGGTTTTATTAACATGAGTGATTTACAACAAATCTCTTGTGTAGCTCTAAACTAACAAGGTGACTCGCCAGAAAGTGGGTCTTGTAGAGAAAAAACAAGTACCATTTAGAATGATTGTCACTCCAGGGCATCAAAGCACCGCAACTGCAGCACACTACAATGCACAGTAATGCTTTACTGTACGTTGTGGATTGCTGTGTCGGTAACAAAGGGTCAGGTCTGGTTTTCAAAATGAATGGGCTGCCTTAGGGCAGTTTCACACATGTGGCCAGGGGTACAGTAAATACAGGAGGCTGAGGTGCAGTTTTACCTCTCTCCAGCCGTCCACTTGAATCTTAACATTACAGTCTGCCAGGGCTGTTTATATACTGTGGCCATGATAGTTTGCTTCTCAGGGGCTGCATTTTTAACTCAGTCAGGCTACACCTGTCAAACTTGCTAGCTGAGATCAATAGGGCCACACTGCCACCATCCTGCATTATGTTAGGTCGTGGGGTGTTTACAGGGTTCTCAAATAAAGTGCAGCTCTCAAAATTTAAAATTCATTTAATAGAAAAATCATAATAACAATGATAATGTGTGAAAAATGGTAAATAATCACAAAATGTTCATAAATTAAATATGGTGAAATCAGATTTGATCAGTCCCCACATGCCATGATGAGATCAGAAGACTTCCAAAGATAGCCAATGTGACACCATGCACTGCCATGCAAGGCTTACTAGAAGGTATGTGACCACTTGCTAAGAGTGGTCAATCTGCACTCTATAGAATATTGTTGATGACATCAAGGAAAATGGACGATCAGTCTCCTCCTCTGGCCACCTAAGGTTATGACATAATCCTGCCAGATCGATCTCACTAGATATAATGGCTCCAACCACTCCAAGACGAGTTAATAAAGACCAGAGCTCGTAGCATTATGCATGTAATGAAAAATTACTCCACATTGTACAAAACCATCAAAAGATCCAAAATGTATTCCAATAAAATGCACTCACATGATAGAAGGTACAAA